CTGGCACTAATTGGAAATAGACTACAGAATCAATTGCTTCTGCAGTCAATGATGAGGAACATTTTAATTGAATTATAAGACAATATATACATTCTTCAAAACACTTTGACACTTGAGACACTGGACTTATCTTTATCAGAAAAGAACAGACAGGTGGAGGTTGAGTAAGTTCTCCTCATATTACTATGACAACAGATGACTTATTTCAAGCCTGCTTTGTGGAAAATAGTGATACCTCAGAAGTTTTAAGAAGGAAAGTACTTGGCATGTTAAAAGTAAATAGACTTCAGTAATGCTCAAGTAATCAAGAGTAAGATAGATATCCTTATGTTTTTTGGTACTGCATGCTCAGGTATATTTACAAAATAAACATTGGATTAGATCACCAACAACATATAACAGCACTTTCTTTCACTGTTCATTAAGATTATAAAACATCAAACCGTGCAAAGGATTTGTGAATATACATATTGCCAAGGAAGTGATTTTTATCACTTTGTATTATCTATTTCTCTGACATTTCTTGAAGACGTAGAAGTTTTATTGATGACTGTGAAACTAAATCTCCTGATAAAACAGCTAGTCAAACTTGGATGAAAGTCACATTCTCGAGGGCTACTCAACACTTCATCACTACTAAAGCCAACAACGGAAAGAATTTTGTGTCGATCCTCTAAGTGTGTGAAATTCACAGTTTATGACCTTAACTCTGCTTACTTACACTATGATGCTTACTGAACTTATGTCTTAGTTTGCTACATTTAAGTCCATGTTTATTCAGTAGCAAGAAAGTTAAACTACCTGCCTTGATTACACGAGACCCCCAGTACCACTGCTTTGTTAGGTTTTGATACTGCTACCTTTACTGAGTTCTGTGCCTAGGGAAAAATTTAAATGGTGCCATTCATCAGTAAACGTAGCACTATATCCCAAAATCTTATCTCTACTTGCACACCTGACATGTAGCAAAGTTGCTTTACTGTAGTTTAAAGGCCAGTGTGTAGATAACCTTAGGCAAAGAACTGCAAGTTAATCACACAGTTGGACAACTGACATCATCCATAAATTGTTCTGATATAATGGCACCAGCATGCTAATTTATGTGAAGTGATGTCCATTTGCTTATCATGGATTGGAAACTGTTTCACATAAAACAAAATTCTAATGCATCATATGGAGTTATAGCCTATGCTAATTGCTTTTGGCATATTTCCCCTTGTAACCATTTAGCCAGCTCTTGGAAATGGTAAATGCATCTTTAAGAATGTTTCAAAACAAGGTATGTTCCTTAAAATGAAATAAACTAACTGCACTGAGAAGAAAGGGAATTTATTTTAATGCAACCACACAACTAATCCAGATTCAGAAAGAATACAGTACGTGTTGGTGCTTATTTAAATACAAATGTATGCCATAGACAAAGAATTATTACTAAAATCTAAATAATAAAATTTAGTAAAATAAATATTTAAGAACAAGTTTCTTACTAGATTGATTAAGAACTTCCTAAGTCTTGTATGAAAAAGAGAATTCAGGACTAAATAACTGATTAACTAATTAACCCATTTCATCGCTACACTGAGGCTGTACAAATGTTAAGAAAAATCTGAGTATGTCCTTATGTAGACTGAGTTTAGGGTTCAAATTTGTTCTTTATGCATCTGTCAAGGGATTCTTTGAATCACTTCTCAAACTAACTACTAGGGACTCTACTGGGGACACCAGGAGCCACCAGACCTATTGGGTCTGTAGCAGTGGGAAGTAATAGGAATGCTGGAGGAAAATGCATGCACTCTTCAGCCAGTGTGGGAGCTGAAGCCGACAGATACCTTCAGTTTGTACAGAGACAGTGCCCTAAGTCTGTTAAGTCCAACAGTGCCATAAGCAGTCTGTTAAGTGAGTGGAAACTCACACATAATATGACTATTATTATTTAATTATATTTTAGGTCAATTTCTGTTAAATCAATTTCTGTTAAACTTAATTATATCCCTCTATGGCTTTAAACTGGGGCAGCTTCTATTAAGTTTACTTTCTCCTGGGGTTTTCACAGTAAAGACAAATGATAAAGGTCTGGCTACTAAATGAGGGCAGCTATTAAATAAGGACAGCTTGTATTAAAGCTGGATGGTAAAGATGTGGCCTGGGTTGAGAAAACCCCTTAGTAAGGCAAGCATCTTATATTTAAAGAAAAACAAAACAGGATGGAGGACAGAGAAGGAAATAAACTTTGGTCAATAACTCTTGTAAGATACTCTTTAAGAAACTTAGCAGAATGTCCAAAGTTTCATGGCAACGTCCTCTGAAGCTTCTTTTAGAAACGAGTGAGTGGTAATTTGATACAGGTTCCTCCTTAGTGAAAGAGGAAAAAATTAAGCACAAACCCTGGTTCTGGAGTCCAAGAGATACAAGGACTTGTAATATCATTTTAGACAGTTGTTGACTACTAAAAATTCTGTCAGCGTTATTCTAGAAGAGATAATACAGTGTAGTTCAGTTTAGAATTACATCATAATTCTAGAAAGTACAGTTTAAAAAAATTTTTAGATTAGAATTTTTTTGCGGGGAGGGGGGGGAAGGGAGAAGTTTTTACCACTCTGGAGTTCTTAAAATCAGTCTCTGCTTTACTTTTGCTCTATTACTATTTATAAAGAAACTTGTTTCTTTACTAGCACTGACACTACCCATATGCATATATTCTGATTAATACAGCTGTAAGACAAATAAGAAAAGATGCATTATTTCATGTACCATATTGTGTTGTTTTATGGTGTTGTAGAGATGTGAAACACTCCAAGGCAGTCTAATCTAAGTGCACAAGTATATCAGTGGCTCTGTAAATTTCCACTACCCTGATGTTGAAATAGTACCCAGTCATTTCATAAACTCACTTTCATAAACTCACATTTCATAAATTCAATTTCTGGTAATTACTCATGTTTTTTTACAATGCAAGGTTATACTTGTCCACAGTGGAAGCGATGGTTGATGAAAATATGCAGAGAATCTCTCTTCCACCTGGCGCAATATTTCACGTAAGAAACACAGTGGGCCACCTTGGGGCCAAAGTAGTTGGCAGCAACTTAGCCCAGTGACAGGAAAAATCTGCTTGGCTGAGGGCCTACACCTAATCTTCACTAAACATCTGTTAGATATCATAAGAAGAATGCTGAAGATGATATACATATTAGTTTTCGAATGTACCCCAGGAAAGGGATTACCGCAATGATTCTTGATCGCACCTGGGAACTGATGCATTTTTAAAACTGAAACAGTAAGATCCATTTGAGCAAATTAGCTCAAAAATTATTTTCTAACTTTTTTTTTTGACCCTACAGATGCATTTTTTTCACCCAAAAAGTCATGTACTTCTGTGAACTCCAGAAGACAGAACTCAAATTAGCAAAACACCAATATATCAGTTGCCAGGTAAGAGTTTACAAAGAGCAACTTTGACAAATTTTGATATACCTGAGGTCATACTGTTCATCTTACCTGTTAAAGAAAAAAAGCACAAAAATATTTCTTGGTTAAAATACCTACCCAATGCTTATCTTTATGGATTTTAATGACCTGAAATAAACATTAGGAAATTTGATCAATATGTCAAAATACTGAAAGACAAATATTTTTGTAGTCCTCAAAAGTTAGGTGTACCTCGTAGAGATCTGTTGTGGGTGTGGGGAAATAAAATACAAAGCTCCAACCATTCCATGTTCATAGAATAGCAGGAACTTGCTATCTTGCTTTGTTCACACTCACCAAAGATCAACCTAGCTAACAAGTTATGAGCTCTGTTCCAGGTTTAGGCAGGGAATGGAGAAGAGTGATAGAATGATTATTAACAGAGAAGCAGGTTATGTCTCTGAAGTTCATGCAGTTATATTGATTTTAAACCACAGAAGTTACGGTTTCATCTGCTTTCCAGGATTTGGTCTAGTCTTCATAGGACTCTAACTTGTCAAGGAAAGAACATATTTCAAGGATTTTAGATCCAGAAGGTACAGTTGAAGAAATAACAGAATTTTTAAGTCTGGTTTTGCTGAGTTGTGACCTAACTTTCTGTATAGAATACATTTAAATGAATAATAATAAGAGATCAGAGATAGGTGGTTATCAATATGCTTCACTATAGGTAACACTGTAATGGACAAATAATAATGTTATAACAAAGAGGACGTAGCATCTACTATATTGTGGAAAAATAATATAAAATAATATAAAAATAATATAAATTAATAATTTACAATGAGAAAGTAATTATCATGGTCATCAGGTATTTTGTCTGTTTGCTTCCACTGTCATCTGAAGTAATGGTCATGTAACAATACATCAAACGTACTAGAGGGTAATAAGCACCTCTGTTTTAGAGAGGTTTCAACTTAAGTGCAGGGAAAGAAAATGGATGAATAGGAGAAACAGAGTAAGAACATATAGCAACTACGATGCTAGCCAGAAGTCTAATGATTGGTGATTGGTTCTACTCTGCAACTATGAAAAGAATCTGCTTCACTATATCCCCACCAGTATATTCCACAATTAACATTCATAGTATGGCTCATACATGTAACTAAAACCCAAATCTGCCCTTGCATTCATTGTCAATAATCAATATTCAAAACAAATTATAAAAAGAAATTTTTGTTTAGCTTGTGTATAGTGGGGAAAAAATAATCTAGTTCAACAAACCATATGTAGGGCATAATAATCTATGAGATTTGAGCATAGATGAAGAGCCAAATTCAGTTTTATTAAACTGGTACAAGCCCAGAATATATCTAATTAATTCAAAGAAATTATTCTGAATTCGTAACAGTGTAAATGAGAACAGAATGTGATGCAATGTGAATAGGATAAAGAGAACAATGACTGATAGATATATATATTTGATAATGGAGGGGAACCTACACTCTAAGAAATTGTTTAATTAGCACCAGAAACTTTTTAAAAACAAAAGAAGAGGAAATTAATGCTTTACCACATGGAGCTTTTGCCTTTACCTGACAAACGCGTTATTCACAGAAACAGCTTGCAAGTATTTCTTCAGGGCATAATAATTATGGATGTATTTCCGAACATAATAGCCTCGCCACCTTTTCTGGATCTAGAGGAAATAAATATTTGCTTAGTATATTTCAAATCAAAAGTTTGTTTGCATATCCAGTATCTGTAGCTTATCCCAAATAATATGGTTTCCTTAAAAGTGTTATCAAGTAGAAGCACCAGCATAGTTTTCAACGAAGAAAATTAGGGTAGGATGTAGTTTGATTGTAGTCAAATGGCAATTCAAATTTACTGTTAAATGTCAACATTAAAAAAATAGTATCAAGTTTTAAACCACTGTTTATATTGGGGTGTGACAATGAAAAGAAGAGCCTGCTACTACCAGTGGCATTGCTCTATGTAAGAACAGTAAAAAAAGCAGACAACAGAAGTGGTGTCTTTTCCCAGGTATAACAAGCATTCCCTACTGGTCACTACCTCACCAACATCTTACACTACACTTTCACCTTTGTGTTCTAGTTATATTGTAGACTGAATAAAAGCCTTCCCAGTAATTCAGTGAATCAGGCTTTCTGCAAACCTAATTTACAAACCGCAGTTCTTTAATCTCCAGTGTAAAATAACTCATGTCTATTTGTTGTATATGAATTGCAATCTTCTCACAAAATACTACTCTCTTGCGTAGCAGAGAAAGCCTAACCTGGAAAAGGAAACTTTTTTCTCTGTAGCTAGTTGTAAAGTTGTATTACAAATAGAAATTAGGTAGCATCCTCCACCAGAAAGAATTTATTTTTTTGGTGCATTTTGAAAAGCGTCAATTGAAAAAAACAAGTAGAAGGAAAAAATTTAGGGGGGAGAGAACTTAGTCTACCCAACTTTTGCCAAGAATCAATTTTGACAAAAACATTTAAACCTTCTCTGGTACTTAAAAATCCTAATAATGATGTTTCTGAAATTACTACCTGTTTACTGCTATCAGTTTTGTGGGAAGGGAAAGTAAGCATTAAGAACAAACTATTAAGAATTGGAATGGACTGCCCAGTAAGATGGTGGACTCAGCGTCCTGAAGGTGTTCAAGAAAAGACTGGACATGTCACTTAGTGGTGATTGATCAAAGGTTGGATTCAATGTTCTTAAAGGCCTTTTCCAACCTAGATGATTCTGTAATTCTGTGATTCTGTAATTAGGTAAAAAGTTATCAGTGCTGTCATTTGGTTAGCTATATTTATGCCTATGACATGTACAGGAGGAAGACGTCATGCCGAAGGTTGCTTTCGTTCCTCATTTTCTTTGCCATAAGAGGTCAGTGTATTCTAGACATACACATCTGAAAAATAGATTATCTTTTAGATTAGTTTTATATTAGTTATAGATTAATGATCTTTTCCTTCGTTATATCTAGTTCCTCTATCTTTACATTCTTCTGTCCTTGAACTTATTTATTTCCCTGAAAAACATTCCTTTACTTCCTTTTTTTGCATTTTGTCTTCTTTTTCCTCAATATTTGTCTAAACTAATCTCCAAATTTCTATTTTCTAGTCTGCAGTACCTTCATTACTACTCCCACATCCTTCTCTTTGACCTTTATAGCTTTGAAATCTTAAAAGACATCACAGCTGAAAGGCAGAATCTACATTTAAAAAGCAAGAAGTTTGAGCTTTTACTGTCCATAATCAAATCCAATTGAGAAGCTACTCCCCTCCACTAAATGCATTGAAGAGAAGAATGTTGTAATTTTCTAAGAGCTATCCTACCTCGTGGGCCTCTAGCTACCAGACTTTTCAAGAATTTAAACTCTTCAGTGTCTACAGGGAACATGCTTCTTTTTTTTTTTTCCTTTACATCAACCCTTCTCTTTCCAGAACAAAGGGATGACTTGGTAAGTGGAGTGAAATCCATGTGTTTGTGGTATCGGTTTTTTTTCTTACCCCATCTCATTCTAAATACACATGTTAAAAAAGGGGGGAAAGAGTGTCATGGGTTTTGTGTTTGATACAGCAAGAAGGCAAGATTAAAAAAAAAAACTTGCCCACTGCCCCCACTATCAATAACCTTCAAAAGGTTATTCAAAGTCAAAAGACTTCAGAGTATGCATCATCAAGTCTTGGGACTGCTCTCCAGTAACAGGCAATATTCTATCTACTCCTTCCAGTTCTGTTGCAGTCCAGTTCTGTACCACCATGATATCTGACAAAAGTTACTGCAATTTCTCCATCTCCTAACTTTTCCTGAGCAGAAAACAGTAACACACTGGAGCTGTCTATAAGAAGAATAAGGCATGGCTGAATATTTTCATCCTTTGATATCATTTTTCTATCACAAAACCCAAAACACTATTATTTGAAGTAAAAACTAGCATTTGGCCTCAATCAATAACACCTTGGGGTACAGTTATGATTATCTTTTTACATGAGATTTAAAAGAGAAAAAGTATCACAGGAAAGCTTTCCCTAAGTCTTTGAGTGATGTGTCATGAAGAAAACTAAACTATGTGCTGGAGTTATTAGGAATACGAGGATATGAACTTCCAGTGCTAATATTTTCTTCTATTTCCCCTTTGTGCATCAGCATGCATTTTCCTCTCTTCCTTCCCAAATAAGACCCAAAAGTAATTTAAAAAGCTGGCATTTTCTTTTACCTATGTGTTGCATGTTTGGGATTTCTTTTTAATAAAAAGGGTTTGGACCTGTAGATATTGTTATAATATTATTAAATAACCATTATGTGAACAAGAAAGGCTAAGCACTAGACACGCTGCTTTGCACTAGGTGATAGTAAATTTCATACTCTGCAACTCCACTTTCTCATAGACAAGCTTATTGGGTTAAAAAGGAATAGAGAAAGAGCAAAGAATGAGTATGCCTTCAGAGATCTGGGATTAAGCAAAATCCTTTGCATGTGAATAAGGATCTTAGCTTTGTTTTGCTGTTTGGCTTCAAAATTTCTCAACAAGAGCAACTTGGCTCCCGTATAGCCATGTGCTCATTAATGCAGGATTATGGTCCCTTTGAAACTCTTTCTGACAGTCTTCACCTCACAGTTATAAATGTGGAACTGGATATTTCTGGGTTAAAGGATCAAAACTCAAAGTGAAAGACAAAGGGCTCAAATTGTATAAAGCTATAATTACCTCCAGTGGGCTCAGTGTACCAATTAAATGCTGCATTCCACCTTTATTTACACCACTTTCTGTTCAGAATGAACTCACTGATTTCAACTGAATGAAACATAAGTAAGAAAAACTGCATTATGTCTCAAATTATTTTATGCTAGTTTTCTCTTTCCCTAGTACTGTACGTCAGAGAACCCAAAACTGAAGATTAGTCTTTTTAGAAAAGACCATTTTACACACACCTTCTGATGATTGTCATGTTTTCAATGTGGAAGTTCTAAATGTTTCCTTTTATAAGGAAGTGTGAAGTGATACAACTGAATTTCTTTTTAATTCCAAGGTGAATGTTTAAAAAATTCTTGAAAAAAAAAAGTGATAAGTCTGTATGCCCTTCAAAGTAATTAGCAAGTTTCAACAGTGATTGGTACAAAACAATTATTGTCATTGATCAGAACTGAACAGATAATTTTAAACAAAGTCATTGTGTGCTCAGCAGATTACAGCTTGTTAACGGGCAAGTTCTAAATGACCTCTTAAGCTAGTCAAATCAATGATGCATATTCCTCATTAAGTAACATCAAAATGTAAGTGGTCTTATAAATAATGTTTATTTTAAGCACTAAAACAAATGGCAAAACCTTGATATATCAAAAGCCATCTGCTCGTGGAAAAAATTTTTTTTTGCCACAAGATTATTTTTGTTGCTGAAAATTTACAGTAACCTTAAATCTTTTAAAGGAGAGAATCATATTTTGACCTAATACTGAAACTGATTAAGACCACATCTCTGATTTAATTTTAAAAGGTAAAACTGATAGGTCTGGTTACAAAAGACAGAGATGTAGACTGACATATGCAGTTATTATTATATTTTTAGAACACTGAACTATATTAGTCATAAATCAAACTCCCAATGTGTGAATATGAGGCACTGTTGACTTAGGAAAAGTAAAGTCTGGGCACGCACCTACTGTGCAGAAACTCAACAGGCCTGATTCTCGATTGTCCTGGACCTTGATTAGTTCTTCAGAAAACTGATGACAGAAAAAACCCAAAACCATGCAGTGTTTCAGACTCGTAGCATTTTAAATCTGCGCTGCAGATATGGCTACACAAGATTATTTAGATAGAGGAGAAACAGATTCTGACATTTGCGACTAAATTAAGATCTGTTCTATTGTTTTCTACTGATTTAAATTTCTATTAAAGAAAAGGACATGACTGAAAAAATGGTACTTTGAAGATTTATATCACCTAATGATTCAACATTATATTTCCATTACAAATGAATGGGAACACATTCAATTTCTTTTAAAAATGAAAGACCAAATGCAAAACTCCATTTGACTAGAATACATAATTACCTCTGAAATTTGGTCTTCAAATGTCTTCTAAAAGTACACAGGCAACTTTTAAGAGCTGGCTTACATCTTATGTTTTCTCAATGATTTCAGCTGCATGAGTAAATGGCATTTATCCACTGTGGAATACTTTCCAACTAGCTAACTAAGGAATAAACTAAAAGAATAACAAAAAAGTACATTTGTGAGGAATTAGACTGCTGTTAAACACTGTCTGTTCTCTAACCTGCACCAAATGTAAGATTCTACTTTCTGCCTTTGAGAGAACCAGGACTAAGTAAAAAATCTGACTGGGAACACATCTCTATACTCTGAGTTATTCTGGACCTAGAAAGGCCACAAAATTAAAATCCATTCTGAGAATCTTCCTACTTTACAGGAGCTTCCTTGAGTTATTCTCCATCCTCACTATATTCCTACATGTGGCAGAATTAAAAGGTAAGATGCCTTGTCTAAAAAGATATAGGCCTCTCAAGTAAAACAGTTTTATATCACAAAATAAGTAAGTAAGATAAAAATATTTTATCAAATTAATTATCTCATGTCCTTCCCATGTTTGTTTTACATATATGTTTAGGTGCAGTTCCAAAGTTCAGTGAAAAAAAATGCTAATTTTTGGTTAAATATATTTTGCAGTTTTCCCCGTAACAAACTGCACTGGCTGCAGATTTACTAAAGTTCATGGACTGTTGACACTTTTCTTCATTTAGCAAAATTCACTCAGAGTATCATCAATGAGATGAGTGCAGTTCCACTGCACATAGTAGCTCTTGAGATTCAATACATCATATGTCATGTACTAACAAAAGAAAAAGCACAGCTACATTAGCAAATCAGCATAGAAGCCCTATAGCTTGTCAGAATTGTAAGTATATGTCTACATTTGTAAGAGCATTGGTAGACAGAATGTTCGGGGGTTTTAGCAGTATCACATATCGTAAGGTACAATGAACATTTAAATGGGGCAAGACACATGCAGGTGCCTTAAATTCAGCTACAGTTTTCAAATACAACCCAGACTACTGAGTGTAACTTTAATTTTTAACTATGTACTATTTCCCACTGTTGCCATCAGCATATCAATCAAGTGTATATTATTCTGGTTTGCTCATTTTATTAAAAGCAAATTCGGAGCACAATTGACTTTTCATTTGTTTAACAAGGGAAGAAATATTTACCCTGACAGCCATTTCATTGTAGAAATTCATCTTCATAATAAAATATGCTGTCTGTGAACCAAGAAAAAAAAAGATGGCATATATTTCAGTTACACAAAGACAGTCCTCCTATTTTTACATATAAAAGATAAGAATCTTTATACATAATACATAATAAGAGTTCTAGGCTTACAGAGAATAAAATCAAACTTTGTATTGAAGAGATAGGCTTCCTAATACATAATGCAGGCTTAACCAGAAAAATCTATGGTAGTCAAACTAGGAGCTAATGGAGATATATGATCATAAAATGCTCTCCGCTGAGTTTGATAATCAATGGTGCTCTACTGAGAGTAGAATAACAAAGCAGAAATATTCACAAGTGCTGGTGACACGTAGTATTGTATGATTTATTCACTGGGGTTCTTTTAGCCAAAACTCACAGAAACATAAAAGGAATTCATATTTCAAGACGTCTGGTTTAATGAAAAATTCAAAGAAATGCTGTCTTCAGTCGAAATCGTTCAAGGATACGGATGCAGTGATGGAGCAAAATTGTGCCTTCCAACCATCTGTACTAAATGTTATGTACTTAGCTGCCTCCCGAGTAATCGTTGGGAATTTTGTTTCATTTAATATTCATTTTAACATCATAAAATCATAAATACAATGATACCATGTTACAGCGAATCCCCTGATATAGAAAACATTTCCTCAAGTCCTGGTTTCCTTCCAATAAAGTAGAATTCCTCTCATAGTGAACGAATCCCCTATTATACTAAGCAATCACTTGGCAGCATAGGTTATTTTAATGGATACATCACTTTAAACTAAGCTTTCACATCTGTTCCGCCCTCTAATTACAAATGCAAAATGAACATAATTCACAATTGTATCATAAAAAGTAAAATATAAGTACTTTGAATGCAAGAGTATGTCCTTTATTTAGCACAACATGCAGCTTTTATGTGTTTCTCATGTTTTAGACACAAATCAAAGGCAAAAGTGCTTTCCCCTGATATAGTGATTTTCTCCCCCATGGCAAACAGGAATTCACTATAAAAGGGTTTCACTGTAATTAGTGTTATTTGAATTGCCTAGTCTGATCCAAAGCAAATTGTCTGTGGAGAGCAGCAGGACTGGATTATTTATCAACAGTCTGGGCAATTAAGAAACAGTTGGCTGCAATATGTTATTTACAAATGAACACAATGATGCTACTTCATTTTAAATTCTCTTTCTTCATTACATTAAGCAAGGCATAATTCCTGCAGTTTAATTAAGGTGCATTTTAAATGCTCACTTTAATATCATACCAATCTACTAATAATGGAAACAGTACAAAAAAATATTTCTTATGTGAAAGAAAATTGCAGGATTGTTAAATTCCAAAAAAGTTTCACGTGTATGTGTAGATGTATACATACACACACACGCATGCATACATATATTTGAGGGAAAATCTGCCCCAAAGGTACAAATTAGAATAAACAGTGGACTGTCTCTCCCCTTTAGTGTCCATAAATGTTTACAGAGTGATACTAACAGTAGATAGCTAATAATGGAATGAAATAATGTCTGCCAGATTTAAGTATATTCCTAAACTGTTTGATTAAATTGATAAAATTTTGTGTTGCAGCTCATCTTCTCTTTCTTTGCAAGGGAACATAAGAGTTGCCACACCACCACGTAAAGTACATTTTAATGGAAGTTCCTAAGCTTAAAAATGCTTATCAGAGTTCTCTTCATCACTGATTAAACTAAACAATCTTATATCTTTTTGTTTATTCTTCTTATAGTTGAAGGCTGTGAGCACTCAGGTCTGAATGCATCCCATTTCACTGACAAACCTAAATTGGAGACCTAACATCATTAATGCTCTTGATACCATCAACACTGAAAGACAGTGGGATCACTGTCTCTGAGATTGGCAAAGTGTTAACTATTAAAGAACTTTGTCTACTATTTACAGAGACAGTCAGTGGCAACTAGGGTCCTAATTTGCATACCTCACTAAGGTGTGAGAAATCCAGGCCTTTACCACCACTTAAGATGCTCACTCACAATAAAAAGGAAGTTACACAATTCTGCTTTTACTCAACTGTTGCTATAAATCACAAGTCATCCAAATGCAGAATTGCTCATACAACTGTCGTACAACCTTATTCTTTCCCCAAAAGCCAAAGGCTGTGTCACAATCTAGGTTTTTTTGCAAATAGATTTGCCCCATTTTCTAATCCTGATCAGAAAGTTTTGCCATTACAAGTGATGGAAAATATGTTCATCACTATTCACAAAGGAACAGTCATAATTTAGTGCTTCAACCCAAGTCTACACTTACATACTAAACAAAAGATTCTTTCCTGAACTGGGGCCTGCTTATCCAGAAGACCCTTTCCTTACTTTTTAGTGGAATTTCCTTCATTTCAGCCTGTGTCGAATGGATTGCTTGTCATTTTTTCACTGAGTGCCAATTCGAAGGTGACACTGCCAGGTTAACTCTCTGGGAAAAATTATCTTGCGATCTCATCCACATGTACCGCCTCCATTTCTGAATCAGGAAGTCTTTGTATCTCTCTGATGTTACAGGTCTTCCTATCAGCTTACTAAGTGTATGTTTCCAAAATATATTTGAAGCTTTTTGTTTATAAACTGCTGGACTATTTTCTCCTTTTGTATTTAAAAACATGTTTGGGGACCACCTACAAATGTGATCTGATTCTCACTGATGTTTTCTTTTGCTTTAAACAATTAATATGAAATGACAAATTCAAACGGGATCTAGAAATCTGATTGAGGTTAAGGTTGAGAAGAAAGCAACACATGGTCTAAATTGGGTTGTTGCTGTGGTGGTTTGGGGTTTTTTTGTAGAGCAAATAGGCATTTGATTAATTCCTATTGGACTGGAATTATTTAAAACTGGTTGCTGAGTTGAAGCTAAACCATTTCTATAACTATATTACATAAAATATTTACTTTTCTCAACTGCATCTCCTTTCAAAGTAAGCTAAATATACAGCCATCATGCATGCCAACTTCATATAACAATTAAATGTTACAATTCCCCTTCCTTAAACAAGTACTTTTGACTTTGAGGAGTATTATAATAAAGAAACAGTGATGTACAGTTTGATTCATGTTCTGGTGTTTGCCTGGTTTTAAAATTCGTACTTTCCTGCACGTCATGCAAAACTTCAGGATCCAACACAATCAATGTAACTAAGTTACTGAGAAAATTGTAGGAGAGCAGTTCTTAATTTTAGCTTGAGATTAATTAGGAAAAAAAGCTTTATACCAAAGAACCTAACCTTAAGGCACATAACCCTAATCATATAAATGGCATCAGTAGGTAAGGGTTTTTTTACTTAATGTATTTTAACAATCAGAAGAAGAGGGAGTAGAGGAGTAGCAAATGAAATACTAGTAGTGATGCACATATGGACAACCAATCTGATGAGCCTCAGCCTTTGTTATTTTCCGCATCAGTACCACTCACATATCACAATTTTGAATATAATCATTAAAATGATTTATTATCAAGCAATCATGGGTATTTGTGCATATGCTTTGCCTTGTTTGCTGGCAGCAGATACCAATCTAATCATTATCAGCAGACAAATTTTAAAGTGACCAGTGTATTTAAGGAACTATCATGTCAAATGTATCATTGTGTTTCATAGTCAGAAATCATTACAGCTGTTATTTGCAAGAGTTCATTGCAAACATTAACTGATCCTTTTAACTTGAAAGTTGTGTTAAACTGCTGAGATTTGGGGTTTTTTTTACATATTCCAAATTCAGCCTTTAATTGAGTAAAGACAGTATAACAACAAATATAAGGCATTAACTTGAACTAAAGGGAGTAAAAGGTGCCTCTGTATCTGCTACTTGTATGGCTTTCAGGTTGGCTTCCAATCAGGGTGTCCTATTTAGTTTTCTCCAGTCAAAGAGATGGCAAGTACAAAATCAAGTATTTGAAGGGAAAAGGTGTATTTTCTGTGCTGATTGCTGCAAAATTTGTAAGCTTCCTGATGAGATTCTCTTTCTCTAGAGCCCTGGCTAGCACTGGGTAAGTACTGGAATCCAGAAACTGGATGAATAATCTTCTAAACCTGTTAAAAGAGGTTTTAGCTTGTGTGCTATCATACACTTTAGCGATCTTCAGGTCTGTCAAGGGAATTAGATTGACTGTGATCTGCTATGTGCCTTAAGGCAAAACCTCAAATACTTCAAGGTTCATTAAGTAAGAAATTTAAACCACTAAAACATAAAACAGCAATGTGTAGACACATTGGCTTATTTTATTTTCAAAATTAGAAGTTCTGCCAGGAAAAAAAAAAAAGCTCCAATCCTGCAATTAGCATCATGTGGGCAGGCTTCTGCATGAGCAGATCTCATTGCTGGTTTGGGGACTAATACTCCAGAGCTGCAAACACTTAAACACTGACTTGACTGTTATGAGTAGGCTTACTGAAATTAATGGTGCTTTTCATGATAGTAAAGTTAAGTACGTGCCTGTGGATCAAGATTCAGCTTTTTAATGTCATGATGAGGGAATGAATTACTTCTATGTATTCTACAAATAACAAAACAAAACTTTTAAAAGCAGTTTTCTACCTCCACCATTTTTCTGAAGTGTTTTCTGCATCGATATCCTCTCCACCACTTCTGTATCAAAATCACCATTTCATTCAGATGTCTAAAATGAAATATATTAACAAAATAATGATTTCTTGAGACTTCCCAGCATTATTATCCATATTTATTCCAAACAGATAACCACTACAAAGACACTTTATATGTATACATGCATCCATATATACCTATGCACACACACACACATATATAATATAAATAATAATGGCCAGTCTTCGCGAGCGAAGATCCGGGGAAGGTCTTTCCACCTTCCAGCCTGCGCATTGGATTTTTTAGGTGAGACACAGTGTGCGCGGAACTGAGCCCACCCTTTAATCCTAAGGTTCATCTGCCGGGGCCAAGCGAGCTTGGACGGTGGCAGCGAGGTCCTTAGGACGTAGGTGGGTTGCCTTTAAGGGCTAACGAGCCCCACCTGCCCGGGAGTGGCCCTGACCGGGAATCGAACCCGGGTCTCCGCGGTGACAGCGCGGCGCCTTTCCATTAGACCACCAGGGGCTCCAGACACACACACAAATAGACCGTTATACACCTAAATTTATGCATACACACATACTTTGGTTTTTGGAAAAAATGGGTTACTGCAAACTTCGTTAATTTGGTTATCATTACAAAAGTTCAATGAAAAAGCCTTACAAATCTAATTTGTATAATAATATGATTTTACTTTCATGGATGGTTTTAACTAACATACCTGATCAGTTCAGAATTTTTATGTTACATGCACATTTTCACAGTTTTACTCTTTTTAAATATTTGACAAAACCCACTGATATCTGGAATTTTAGGACATCTTATTCACTTCTATACATCTTCTTTGCTTTTATAAAATTACACCTAGCTTAATTATGAGTTAATATGTACTTTGTCCTTATACATACATATATATAATATATATGTATGTGCATATATATATATATAATTATGGTACTACAAATTTTATAATTAGTGTCTCAGGTTAATTTTTGCAGAAAATCATGCAATCATTACTTCAGGGCTATCTAAAAAAACTGTATAGGGGATCCTTCATACCACCTGACTGAGGACATCAAACTCATTAGCCTTGAAGTCCACTCAGTGGAAGCAGTCAGGCTAATTCAGAACACTGAGAACTGCCTATATGGAGCCTGTGCTCCCAAGTCAGAGAGAGTTACAGGATTATAGAATCATTAAAGTTGGAAGAAACCTTCAAGATCACCTAGTCCAACCATAAGCCCAGTATCACAATTATCACCCCTAAACCATATCCCCAAGTGCCACATCCAGACACCCCTTGAACACTTTTAGAGACGGTGCCTCCACCGTCTCTCACCACTACTTATTCCAATGCCTAATCACTTCTTCACTGAATTTTTTTTTTCCTAATATCTAACCTGAACTTCGTGCACTGCAATTTAGGGCCATTTCCTCTGATCCTTTCACTTGATACACAGCAGAAGAGATCGACCCCCACCTCACTATCACTTTCAGGCAGTTTTAGAGAGCAATGAGGTCTTCCCTGAGCTTCCCTTTCTCCAGGCTAAACAACCCCAGTTCCCTCAGCTGCTCCATATATGACTTGTGCTCCAGACCCTTCCCCAGCTCCATTATCCTTCTCTGGACATGTTCCAGCAACTCACTGTCTTTCTCGTAGTGGGAGACCCAGAGCTGAACACAGTAAATGAGGTGAGGCCTCATCAGTGTCAAGTACAGGGGGGCAATCTCTTTCCTAGTTCTCCTGGACAAACTATTGGTACAGGCCAAGAAATCAAGAGGATGCTGAGCAAGATCAGTTTGCACACAGTTGCAGAGAAAATCCTCTTCTACACTTAGCTGAGATTTACTTCTTCTTACATTGGTCATTACTAAATACAAATGTGTGTTTGGAAAAGCATTTTCCTATAGAATAGATTGGCAAAGACACTTGGGTTTTCACTTTCTTCTACAGCAGAAAGTAACAGCTGTTACTCATGTCCTGGAAAGAGAGGGTGAATAACCAAACCTTTGTCTTTGTAGGTGCTTTCTGACACTGGTTTCTTAGAGGGTTGAAATACCATGTTTGTTTGCCTGCTGAATGCTTGCCTGTGACAGCTGCATCCTGTGACAACACATTTGAACCACCAATGGAAAACAAATTACCTGTGCTTTTTTTAACAAGTGGACATAATGACTGTAGCCTATTTTTCTGTGAGGGAAATACTAGCCATTAAACAATTAATTTTATTTAACCTAATAATTACTTAGGTTTGACACAGTCTGTCTGGATGATACATAATGACCTGTGACAGGCAAGAGGCCAAACTAGAAGATGTAAAAATCCCTCCCCCTAATTTTTATGAAGATACAGAAATTTGAGTACATGAGTTTGACCAGTTGGGCTTACGATCATAAAAAACAGAGAAGGACTTTCTGGGAGAAGGGACCAATCATAGTGTTTCTGAGAATCTTGTATCAACATCATAAAACCACAGAATCATTAAGGTTGGAAAAGAACTCCAAGATCTTTAGGATCTTGATTAGAATAGAAACCATAGAATCATTAAGGTTGGAAAAGACCTCTAATGTTGATACAGCACTTTACAGAACAAAGATCTCTGATTTATAAATGGAGAAAATCATGAAAAGAAATATTTTTTTAAAATGACCTGGTTAAATCCAGCCGTAGACCTTAATTTCTACAATAAAAGTCCAGTTGCCGTACTCTCACTAGGCAATTTTTCTGTAACAACAACAACAATAAGAGAAAGCAGTGCCACAGAAAGGGACCTGGGGGTCCTGGTGGATGGCAAGTTGAATATGGATCAGCAGTGCCTTGACAGCCAGGAGGGTCAACCGTGTCCTGGGGGCATCAGGCAAAACATTGCCAGCCGCTCAAGGGAAGGGATTGTCCCGCTCTGCTCTGCACTGGGGTAGCCTCACCTTGAATACTATAGCAATTTTGGGTACTACAACGTAAGAAGGATATTAAGCCACTAGAGAGCATCCAAAGGAGGGTTTTGGAGATGGTGAAGGGGAAGCCGTATGAGGATGGCTGAGGTCACTTGGTCTGTTCAGCCTGGAGGAGACTGAGAGGAGACCTCATTGCAGTCTACAACTTCCTCGTGAGGGGAAGAGGAGGGGCAGGCACTGATCTCTTCTCTGTGGTGACCAGGGACAGGATCTGAGGGAGTGGCTTAAGTTGTGTCAGGGGAGGTTTAGGTTGGATATTAGGAAAAAGGTTTTCACCCAGAGGGTGGTTAAGCACTGGAACAGGCTCCCTAGGGCAGTGGTCACAGCACAAAGCCTGACAGAGTTCAAGAAATGTTAGGATAGCGCTCTCAGGCACATGGTGTGACTCTAGAGGAGCCCTGTTCAGGGCCAGGAATTGGACTTGGATGATCCTTGTGGGTTCCTTCCAACTCAGGATATTCTATCATTCTATAAGAAAAGTCTCTGAATCAGCATATCCAAGGGACATCTGGTTGTTTTGTTTCTTTTCCAATCATGACAAGATTTCCTACAGAATACTGTGTATCTGTTATGAAGATAGATTATTTCCATGCTACCTGTTAGCATCATGCCATTTTAACTGTATACCATTCTGAAAATCAAAAATTATTTTTTAGAGTGGCACAGCATATATTTCATTCTGTTGAAAAGCAGAATAACAGTTGTTGGTTGGTTTTTTTTTTTCCCTAACTGCTACCATTTTACTAAAATCAAGTAATACCATGAGCAATTTTGAGGAGAAATTCAAGGCTGAAACACAGATTAGGATAGGCTAGGTAGGCTTAATATACTACCTCAGATAGGCTCGGACTCTGCATCCTCGAAACCAGCTCTGGATTTTGACAGCAGCTCTGTACTTTATTTTTCTGTCTTCATCTATAGATCTGAAAATATAAAAGCAGTAATAATTATCAGCATGGCAATGTAGAACCAAAGTAAAAAAAAAATATTCTAAATATGTTTTATTGTTGCAGTTTGGGATCCTTTTCACTTCCTAATTCTACATAATTCAATGGCAGTGCAGAAAAATGTAACTTACATTAGTTGCATAGTATGAAGGTAACAAGGATAAAAAGCATTGCAACTCATAGGGGATGTAAGTTTTGGGAGAGTGTATTTCTTATTCTCACACAATACTGAATATTCGTGTCAGCATGTCACATGGACTTCTTCCATTGCAGGTGAAATATTGTTATGACAATGAAAGCATAGGAAAGAAACCAGGCGTGGGAATTTCCAAACTTTAGAAGGCCTGGAACATCAGGAAACAAAATCTTAGTGTGGCTTAACACTTTCCATTGGAAACAAATGGATTTAGTAATTTAAATAGATTCTAAAGGGATGACCACAGGAATCTTTTACATGGAAATACAGTAGTCACTGCAACAGCTTATTGAGTCCTGACAGAACTTCTCACAATGGGAATTCAAAGACACAGATTTCGGAGATGATGTAGATATGAAACTGGCAGCATATTGACATGTGCTACAGCCAAGGAGGGAATAAAAGGAAACAACAGAATTACAAAATATGCTAGGGTTGCAGCATTGATTAATACAGATCCTAGAGGAAATAATGAAAAAGGGAGGCTATAGAGAAGGATGAAGGATTTGGTTTTAAGTTACATGAAAAGAAAGGTTATCTAGAAAGAGATACTGGTGAGGCAGCAGAAGAGGCAAGGTAGATGTAGGGGAGAATTGATGACTTCAAGGAGATTTTCAAGAACTATTAAATGTCAAAGCTTTGTGTCAAATGACATAGTAAAAGAAAAAGACATGCACAAGTGGAAAAGAAACACAAGAAGCACAAGTAAAAGGACCTCATCAGAAAATAATTCCAAGAGATAGCCCTTGCTTGCATTCTCTCCGTGACTGTCTATTAGAATAGTGTTTGTGACAAAGCTAGAAGTCATGTAAGGAAAACCATGACTCTAAAACAGATTAAAGAAATATATTAACCTGAAGAGGCTTTTAAGAGAGTATAGGAAGAAATCATTACCATTATGAGTTTCAATGATGACGGGTAAAACTCAGCTATGAGATCATTTCTGGCTTTTATTTATTTTTTATTTGTTTTAAAATGCTAGTAACTGTCAAGTCTTTGAACTTAAAATTATATTTTAATTTTCATGGATTTTTTTTGTTAACTTATTTTTATCAGGAACATATTTACCAAATACTTTAATTTGTTACACCTGACACAAAATAACAATTAGGTTACTATTAGTTGGTTTCCTTAATTAGCTGACATTAGTTAGCTCTAACAAAGTTTTGTGTCAACATTAATTGCATCAGTAAACACCAACAAGATTAATTTTTATCTGATAAATTAGGATTATCCTCATCATATTTCTTGTGAATTGAAATGCAGATTTACTATCAGAGATCAAGAAACATTAGCTCCACTCATTTTATATCATATGGTGCAGCATGTGCTCTCAAATCACATTAAGTGGACACAAATTTTCATTGTCATCTGACATTCATCAGACCTTTTCAGCACCTCAAAACTGTGGGAAACAGACTTTTTCAACTTAAGACCACAAAAGAAAAAATTTTCAAAGCTGGCTAGAGAGCTTCCTTGATCCCTCCTTATGCAGACTCTGAGACTTTATAGGAAGTAGACACCTTCAGAATACTTTTACCTAGAGGTAAATGATTTTGATTAAAAGGATTTTGATTGAGCAAATTGGGCCTGGACAGGCAACCACAATTACTGCCTGGAAATGGAGGGGATGAGGGACTGGCCATGCCAGAGGTGACAGCTCCAAAACCAGTCCTACCCACTTGGCAATGACAACAGCCTGCTTCTGGAAGAGCAGAAGCCTTCTCCTCTCTTACTTTCTGTTAGATTTTTTTAGCTGGCATTCTCTTGCCTGGCTAAGGCAGTTTAGAAGTCCTTGTAAAGTTTATTGAAGCAGACCAACAAGAAGACAGATCCACAAACCCTTTCAACTGCCCTTGCCAGCAGAAGTGGTTTGAGGTGAAAGTTTCTCAGGCAGGTATTTGCCCTTTTGATCAGGTCGCATAGTTGTCACACTGTTTGAATAAAGCTTTTAGAGTCACAAGTATTTCTCAAAGACTTTACTGAAAGAAAAAAAGGCATATTCAAGGTCAGCACCGGACATACAGATGCTACAGTAAATAAAAGCATTATTGAATGAGTACAGTGACAAACTTGTTTAACACTTAAGAGAGTGCACTAATGGATTCTGTACAGTCTAATGCTTATGCTGACAGCGTATTTCTCAAAGTGCAGGCTTATGGTATTTTTGCATTATGACATCACTGGGCAAGTCCTTGTCTAGAAAGGTGCTTTCCCCAAAAAGCCAGTTTAAGACACCTCATACCTCTCACATAAACTGAGTTCTGCAAAAAGCATGACAGGAATGTTATGAAGATCAGAAAAATATTATTAAGATTAGTTACTGAGCTGAAATGATTGAATCCTCTCATTTAAACACTCAGCTGCAAATCTGAATTTTCAGAAGCTGATGGATCATAGCCTATTCTTAAAAGGGAAACAATTCATGTTTGGAAAGCTCTGCCAAAAAACAAATCCCCAAACATCAAGCATGCTGCCCTCCAACGGATTTCCAAGTCTGGCTCAGACTGCTCTTTCTAACCTGAAATATGTGAAATACAAGCCTAGTCTCCTGTAACTGATGTTTGTTTAGTGAACTGCTGCGTGTACAGCCACAGCAGTATGAACAAAAGTTCAGGGGAAGAACAGGAAAACACAACACTTTACATGCAGGTAGGACTTGATCTCTGTGTAACTTCTAGGAATGTTCAGGAGCTTTGTTATTCATGATAATGATGTTGTAATTAGATTAAAAAATAAATGATTCACTAATTAGTGAAGAAAAATTAAACTACAACTATGGTAAACACGCTTCTTTTTTTTTTTTTGTGAGTGAGTATTTGCATTACACACACAGCAACAGCAACAATGCAGTTGAATAAAAGAGTTTACAGGACAAATCTATGCAATATTAAAGTCGGTTTTAAAACACTTTATTTCCTGAAATCTGATCTAGGATAAGTTGGCCATCACGTTAGCAGCCAGAAAAGTTGGCAGTGCAAACTGTCCCAGTTGGTGAGAAGTGTAATAGATGATCTAATCTATCAGCCCATTGCTCACTGTGTGGGATATGTTAGATCTTTAAGTAGAATAAACACCTCCTTGACTTGGTAAAAAAAAAAGACAAAACATGTCCCAGGTACTTAGAAACTCAAGTTGCACAGTCTAATTCAGAAGCTCAATTTTAAACAGTGCGGATAATAAACATCAACTCGCTCAGAATTTGGGGGTATTTTCTTTCAATTAACTTTAAAAAAAATTTAAAAAATTTAAAAATAGGAAAAGTAGTGCCTTGCAAGAGGACAAGCGTTCAGGTACAGTCACAGACCTGAGCCACCAGCGCAGGGGCTCAGGGCTGGCGTTCCGCATCCTGGCATCGCTATGACAGATCCTCTGGGAATCAGCAGGCTCCTGAGGCCGGACTGGGGGAAAGGAGGCCGGCTCTCAGAGCGGGAGAGGGCTAAAATTGCGAGGCCCAACGCCTTTTAGGAGTTTCCAGAGGCTTCTTTTCCCTCAGAATTAGCGGAGGGGGCAGGAAAACAGCAGGACATTAAGTATTTTCAGTGTATAAATGGACCCTCTAAAGACGCTGTGCTGCTGCCATCAGGTCTCCTCAGATCACACCACCAATATTTGGGACCAAGGGGGTGAGTTGGTGCTCTCAGGAGGGATTTTAAAGTGATACAGAATCACAGAATGGGTAAGGTTGGAAAGGGACCACAGTGGGTCATCTGGTCCAACCTCTCTGCTGAAGCAAGCTCGTCCTAGAGCACATGGGACAAGATTGTGTCCAGAGGGTTCTTGAATATCTCCAATCAGGGAGACTCTACAACTTCTCTGGTCAATCAGAGCCGTCACTCTCACACTAAAGAAGTTCTTCCTTATATTCGGGTGGAACTTCCTGTGCATCAGTTTCTGCCCGTTGCCACTTGTCCTATTGCTTGGCACCACCAAGAAGAGCCTGGATCCATCCTCGACTCTCTCCCTTCACGTATTTACAGCCACTGATAAGGTCCCCTCTCACTCCTCTCTTCGTGTCTGAACAGGCCCAGTCCCTTCAGCTTTTCCTCGTAACAGATGTTCCAGTCCCTTGATCATCTTCGTAGCCCTCCGCTGGACCCTCTCCAGGAGCTCCATGTCTCTCTCGCACTGAGGAGCCCAGAACTGGACAATTTCCAGGGGGACTGCCGCCATCTGGTTGCTGTGGGAGAGCCGGGGTTCACCCGCCCTGCCGCCCCAGCCCAGTATGAGGAGGTGTGACCCGCCCCACCACTGGCTCGGCCCGGGTACCTGTTCTCAAGGAAATACTCCTCCCGCAGCTCCGACAGCCTCTCCTGCAGCCGGGCCAGGGCAGCCATGCTCCCTCCCTGCTCCCGCCCTCCCGACGCCGCCGCCATGGCAACGGGACCGTCCCACTGCGCTGGGGCGCGGGGGGGGCACTGCCCGGGCAGCCCCGCAAGCAGGAACCGGCACCGCTCCGGGGGTAGCGAAGGCTCCACGGGGCTGCACCGGGGCAGAGACGGGGGTTCTGGGGGGGGACGCGGAGCCTCTGGGCAGCGGCCGGGAGAGGGCCGAGAAGAGGCGAGGTGGTCGCGCCCGGCTTCCTCCGGTGCTGCGGCCGCTTCCGGGCCCGCATCATGGGGGAGTGAGGAGCAGCGCCGGCCGCCCGCGCCCGCCCGCCCGCCCGGCCCGAGCCCGCCCGGCCCCAGCCCCTGCCCGCCTGCCCTCGGCACAGTCTCTGCGAAGCGGCGCCAGCCTCCCCGGGGAGCGGCCGGCCGAGGCGCCGGGTTCATGTTCCGGGTCGCTGATCCTACCCCGACCCGAGCTCAGACGGCGAGGAAGAGCTGGTAAACCCGGGCCCGCAGGGAGCACGTGTCCGCCGCCCGCGGGGCTGCTGCAGGCGGGAGCGGGTCGGGAACAGCGTCTCCCTTGCCGCGGGTGGGGCTTGGAAACGTGGGGGCGAGTGGTGCCCCCTCCCCGGGGCTGCCGCTGACACGGGGCGGAGGTGATGGGGGTGGTGATGGTGCCCTCCCCGGGGATGCGCGGCCGGAGGTCTGACAGGTGCCGCTGGCGCGTCCCGGCGGCGCGGCGCGTTTATGAGCGAGCAGTAAGGCGGAGGGAGGAATTTCCGCGCCTTGCTTAAAAGGGACTGCAGGCAAACGATGAATCAAAACTTTTGTCCCAAGCTTAGTTAGGTTTCCCTGCGCGTTTGGGTTTTTCTAACAGTGGTAGGTTCTCTAAGGCCTAAAGCCCTTGCAGTGTGTGCAGCTGAGCGTCCAGTGACGGGGGTTTGCTGCTCTGGAGTTTTTTTATTGCAAACCAAGAATCAACAAGTGCTGCTGTAGCCATCGAGCAGGGAAAGCATGAGTAGTTCTCCTGTAATGAGGTTCACAGATTTACTGTTTGCTGTAATTCCATGTGCCAGCATAGTGACCCCAAAGGCATTGTTATTTTTACTGTAGCACTGTGAATAGGGGAAGCCAAGTAACAGAATAGAAAAAGTCACTTTTGTTTATAGGCCATGGAGGTATAAAGACTGGTAGTGGAGAGACTTGATAGACATAGGGTGTCCCAAACAACCAGCTGGGAAGCCTTTCATTTTCTTTCTGAAATGTTACATACTTTGTGATATGTTAGATATCAACTGATGTGTCAAGTTTGTCATTCATTTCACTGTTACTAATGTAAACGAGGAGGGTTGTGGTGGGATTTTTTTGTGTGTGTTTTTTCTTAATAATTTGAGGCCTTGAGGCTTTTTTGGAGCCTATGTTGCATATACCTACTGGTAGATTTCCCAGATCTAAAGTAGCTTTTCTTTAATTTTTTTTTGTTTGTTTCTTTTCTGGGGATGGGGAAGAAGAGGAAGGGAGAGGCTTAGCACTTTGTTTTCTTGCACAGAAAGCTCCATTTGTCCTCCACTTTGCTGATAGCACCAGGGTTTTTTTTCCCGTGGGAAATTTATGGCTTTTTTACAATTTTCTAAATGAGAAAACTTTCAAAGAGGGATTTTACTTGCCCTGATATGTGTATTGGCTAGAAGAAGCTTGCCAGAATTGCTAGACATCCAAATTTGCCTGGTGTAAATATAACTTCTGTTGGTATAATTCAGAACGTTTCAGAGAATGAGATATACTCCAGTGGCACAGGAATTTTTACTTGAGTAGAAATGCTGCATACAACAGAAACGTTGCTTAAGACATTCCCAACATGTGTCTGTACTCTGAGATATTTTTCATTAAATATACCTGTCATGCATCTTTAAATTTTACTGGTTTGTGTCCACATAAAGTAATTTAGTTCCAGAGGCTTTTAAAATACTCTTCAGCAACATGAGGTGTGGGCATAGTCTTCTGTAGTTCTCATCAGACAGTAGTGATTTTGCTTGTCCCCAGAGGAATTCAATACAGAGAAAAATACTGATATGTTATCTACAGCACTCTTAGTTTAGTAGTTCTGAAGGAAGGTCTGTTGAAAATCTCACTACTCCTCAGATCTTTCCTATTATTATATAGAAGTTATTTCAGAAGTTGTCTATTAAAGGAAGCCCATTTGAGTGAGATGCAGGAAAATACTTTTTTCAGTGCCTAATACTTGATGTAGAAAATTAAGAACTTGGGCTTTTTTAAAAGCATTAAGACCCTAAAGAGCTGAATAGATTCAGAACAACCACAAAGTAAAATTGTTCACTTTGAATGGTAAAACTGCTCTGAAGCTGAATGTTTTTCATTTAAATAGTGAACACATGCAGCAATTTGGGAATAGTTTGTGTTTTGGGTACTTATTGGGCACTCTGATAATGACTGTGGTGCTATAGCATATTACCACCATGTGACAGTTCATGTAATTCTGCACCTTGACAATTAATTAATGAACTCATACTTCTGAAAAGGGCAAGCATATCAGTAAATGGCAGCAATGGGATTGCAAGAATTGCTCCCTCTCATGATAAATTGCTCCAAATCTCATTTCTGGCTGACCAATTCATTTGTGTTAGAGCCTTGTTAAATGTAGTTCATGTCAGCATCTTTCTAACTGTATTGCCATTGCTCTGTACTAAACACTTTTTCACTGTTAAATATAAGTAGACTGATAGTATTTATTGTTGTGCCTTCTTAGATAAGCAGCAGTTATAGAAAAGTCAGATATACTTATTGCGAGTTAGCCTGGCCCTAATTTTTAGGAGGATCAGCAGCATACTCAGTTATAAAATGCCATCATTGCTCAAATACTTTTTATTGTGTAGGATGGAATCACATAATCACAGAATGGGTCAGGTTGTAAGGGACCCCAGTGCGTCATCTGGTCCAACCTTCCTGCTCGAGCAGCGTCATCCTAGAGCACACATCCTAGAGCACACATCCATGGCACACGATTGCATCCAGACAGTTCTGGAATATCCCCAGTGAGGGAGACTCCACAACCTCTCTGGGCAATCTGTTCCAGTGTGCTGTCACTCCCACAGTAAAGAAGTTCTTCCTCATATTCAGGTGGAATTTCCTGTGCATTGTGTCTGCCCATTGCCTCTTGTCCTATTGCCTGGCACCGCTGAGCAGAGCCTGGATCCATCCTCTTGACACCCTCCCTTCAGACACTTACAGACATTGATGAGATCCCTCTCAGCCGTCTCTCTAGACTGAACAGGCCCATATCCCTCAGCCTTTCCTTGTAAGAGATGTTCCAGTCCCTTGATCATCTTTGTAGCCTGTTGCCTCTTGTCCTATTGCTTGGCACTGCTGAGCAGAGCCTGGATCCATCCTCTTGATGTTGGTAGTAATTGTATGCAGTTACTGGGAGCTGTATATATGATATAGAAGTTCATAGACATTTCCAGCAATTTATTAACTGTCTTTATTGAGGAACAATGACTTTCATGAAACTTAATTTTTTTCAAAATCCTCCCATGCTTTGTTATTTTCTGGAACTGGTTTATATACACACATAATGGACTGCAACAAAGGAGTGTTGGCATACCTTGAAGGTGAAAAGTAATCTGGGATTTTGGGTTTGTTTTTCCCTTTTCAGATATAGATGTGCTCCAGCATAGTATCCTGGTTTGTCTCAAGAGTCCTCAGCTTTTATAACTCTTTATAACTGTTCACATTATCATACATAAAAGTCAAAACCGTTTCTATAATTTCTATAAATTTTAGAAATTTCTTAATTTCTATAAGTGTCTGTTGTGATACTGTCACATTTTTAAATTTTATGGTATGAAAATAACATTAGTATTAAGTTTCTTTGGTCTGCATGTCAGATTTATTTTGAATATGTTGTCGGTGCATTGTCTCTTAGTCTCTTGGGGGAGCAGGATCGTCAGAAGTGGGAGAGTACGGAGATTCTTGGTGACTGGGTGCTATGCCCCATAGCAATGGTCAGTGCAGGGTGGAAGGGGTGGAATACATTTTGGTCATAGTGTAGCTTTTCATACCTGGTTGTCCAGCAGACAGTGCTTAAGGAGGTAAATAGGTGTGGATGTGGAACCAGATGCTTCGTCCTCCTCATAGAGATGGCTTTTTAATGACAGGTGAGTTTAAATAGTCTAGGCACAACTTCAGTTTCTGATCATAGAATCATTAAGGTTGGAAAAGACCTCCGAGGTAAAGTCCCACTGTTGAACCAGCACTACTGTGTTCACCACTAAGCCGTGACCCCAAGTGCCACATTCACACCTTTTTTTGAACACTTTCAGGTACGGAGGTTCCATCACTTCCCAGGGCAGCCTATTCCAATGCCTGATCATCCTTTCAGTGAAGAAATTTTTCCTAATATCTAATCTAAACCTCCCCTGGTGCAACTTGAGGCTGTTTCCTCTTGTCCTGATATTTGTTACCTGAGAGAAGAGCCTTCTGTGAAACAGAGGTTTATCAGTTATTTCCTAATCTACCATCGTCTCTTGCTAGCTTTTTAATAATTTTAACTGCATTATGTTGCTTTATTTTGCTTCCCCCTTCGTGTATTCCAAGAACACGATAGTTCTCTTTTTTTTAATCCATAAATTCTTCCGGCAAGGAAGTGAGATTTATCATGTTCTGCTACCTCCCAAATACTTGCACCTGTTCAATCCAAATTTCTATCACACTCATTAGTAAAACAGGGATCTCAAAACTAACGTTTCTAAGGCTTTGTGAAAATAGCTTCTGAGGTAGAGAAATGGGATTCAAATTAGTAGCTGTCTGAAGATAAAGGTACATTGTGAGTACACCTGTGTTACAAGATATCAGAGAATCCATATGGGAAAAGATTATAGGAAATTCGGGTTTATAATCTTGATGTTGAAGGAACTATTTGATTTTTCACGTGCTTTTAGCTTGTGATCAAGCTGGGTTGTGAAGACAGCAAAATGCATGGGTTTTTTTCAGAATTGATGAGGCACAGATGCAGCATAAATTTAGCTGCA